ATGAGGTAGCCAAAAGGCAGGAAGGCAATCTTCTCCAAGGCCATCTTCAGTAGATAGTTGATGTTGCTTTCTGCATGAAACAGAGCCTGAACCAGCTTGGGAAGGAGTCTGGCTGGACAGTACTATGGCCAGTAGACTTTTTGTGGGCAAGAGGGTGAGCAGATCTGGATGAGAAATGGGGACATCATTTCAACATGGAATTTTGCTCCTTAGAGAAGGCTGTGTAGGACACAGGAGGTTTCTGTAGATACAGCTCCTACTTGGGGCAACACGTGCCTTTTTACTGAGTGTGGACAAAGGGAGTGACAAGTGCAGTGTCCCCTTGCCTTCAGCCTGGCTCTCAGGGTGAGGTCTTTGGTGAGTTTACACTCTAATGGTTCCCTCTTCACACGTTCACCCCGGGGTCTCAAGGGATCTGAAGGGCTGTCACACCACCACAAAGGCTCTCATGGTTTAGACCCAGAACCACAGTCAGCTCTAGAACAGTCACCGCCATATCATGGGGAGCACAGGGGATGGTGACATCTGCTTTCCCCATGGCCTTGAGGAAACCTGGGGAAGGAAGGTTGGAGAAGGACTTGCTGGAGACCAAGCTGAAACTGTGGGGTGAGGGAAGGGTTGGCAGCACTGCCCTGAGGGGCCATTGGCTGCCATCACTGTGGTGGCATGGCTGCCAAGGGCTGGTTAGTCGGGCAGTGATGCCTTGAGGCAGGGACCATCTGCTCCATGGTGTTTATGCAGCATTGGCCCAATGCTCTTGGCTGCTGTGATGGCTTCCCCAGCATGAAATGTATTTAATGACGAGGCAGGAGGATCCCGGGACTGTCCCTCCTCCGCAGAGCAGCCGCCTGTGGCAGGAATCTGCAAATGCTTGAGTTCCTCCTTTGACGTGTCGGCTGAGAGACATTGGGTGGGAGGAGAGATTCTTGCCAAGCCAGACAGTGCCCTGCAGAGACAAGTCCTCCTCCACTGCACCAGCTGGCAGGCAGAAACCTTCCCTGCTGACTGTCCTTGTGATTGTGCATGTAAGCAATCAGTGCCACCTTCACAGAGCTACACCAGGAGCTCCTGGGGTGGATGTTTCTTGGCAAGGGAAGGGGGGAACACTGGAAAGGTCAAAGCCAATCAAGCACAAAGATGCTACTTTCAGATTTGGAGCTCTGATGGAGAAATGAAGGGAACAGTCAAGCTCTGGAGAGCATCCCTCCTGCCCTCAGAGGTGAAGAGGATGGAGCCATGAAGGGTCCTACATGGACCCCTGGAGACAAGAAGGGGTTATGCATCAACCCATGGAGACAAGATAGTTCCTACATGGACCCATGGAGACAAGAAGGGGTTATGCATCGACCCATGGAGACAAGGTACTTCCTATATGGACTCATGGAGACCAGAAGAGGTTGTGCATGGAACCAAGCATAGGTGAAAAGCACACATCAGCCATGGGGTCTTGCCTGCTCTGGGTTGTGGTGCCAGACTGCAGCCCACCATGGCATGTCCCAAACCCTTCCTAGTGCCACAGGCAGAGCCTGAGCCCTCCAGACCACCCAGCTCCCCAGTGTGGCTGCCATACCTGTGTCCTCGGTGGCACTGCTGAGGAGACCAATATTCTTGAGGTGGCTGGGGGTAGAGACAGACAGGGACATGACATCGCCGATGGCCTCATGGAAGCCAGGGTTGGCCCCACTGCGGAAGGAGACAGGCTGGTCCTTGTACTGCAGGTAGTACTGGACATGGCCCATCTCGTGGTGCACTGTGAACAGCTGCTCCATGGTCACCGTCGTGCACTGCTTGATCCTGCCAGGTGAAAACAGCATTGCCTGAGCTGAGTGAGGAACCTCAACTGCCTGTGAACGTCCTCAATGGGAAGGACCCTCCACAGTTCCTGGGAAAGTGGCAGCATCCCATGGGGTAGGGGAAAGACCCAGTGAAGCAGAAGGCAGAGCAGCATGGTGTGTCAAGACCTTACCCCATAAGGTAACAGATTGGGCTACATGGCCAGGTTGGGGGTACCCAAAATATTGACCACCAAATGGGATGGAGAAGGGTCTTACTCTGTAGCCCTGGGCCCTGTATGTCCCCACACACCTGAAGTCCTTGCGGTTGTAGAAGTCCCAGGCCGAGGCATGACACACCACCTCCCGCCCATCCGTTGGCTTCTCCAGCATGGACTTCTCCCAAAATTCAGGGGGCATCTCCAGCAGACCCAGGGAGGTGAAGAACTGCTCTGAGACTCGGAACATGTGGGTGGCGTTCCAGCCCTGGTGGGCAGCAGGTAGTGGGTTACGGCTGAGAAAGGGGCTGCCCATGCCCTGGGTGTTGCCTCTGGTGCTCTCCCAGCACCGTGGGGATGAGGTGGGTCTCTCCAAGGGACTGAAGTTCTGCCCCTCTCACCCCAATGACGAGTCCTGACCCCAGAATTGGTGTGAGCATCCCTAAGAAGCAACAAGCAATGGTGCTGGTGCCCATCGTGGGCAGGCGAATGGAGTAGGGCTGATGCCCCTGGGGTGCTCAGAGCTGTGTGATGGTGTGGACACAGCCCCCAAGCCAGGGACTGACACCAGTCCCACTGCAATGTCCTTCCTCTTTGCCCACCCCCTGCCTCTTTGGTCATTGCCAGAGAGGGAGTGGGCCTATTTGTCCCTTCCTCTCCCAGACATGATTTTCTGCTGTCCCCTGTACAGGTATCAGAAATGACTCCCATGGGGTCAATGTTATGGGCAAGCCTTGTCCAACACCCCCTGTTTTTGTCCCCCGGGTGCCTCCAGTGAGTCCCTCAGCCCATCACCTGCTGCACCATTGTGCTTGTGACATCGAGGTTAGGCTTCTCGGGGTAGGGGACCATCAGGTCATAGATGTTGTTCCACTGCTGAGCCCACATGTTGCCTGAGAAGAGAAAACAGTTGGAGCAGAGCCAGTGGTAGGTCAGGAGGAAGAGAAACACAGTGATGACTGGGACCTCCCTGTCCCACTTATGGCCATGCATGTGCCCTTCTGGCCCCACCAGCACCCCTGTACATAGGTTGGGGGGTCCCTCCTCTTACCCAGGAGGTGAGCAGGGATGGGACCCTTCAGGTTGACGTATCTGGGGCCATAGCGGTCATACAGTTTCCTCCGGACGAAGGCGTGCAGGTTGAGGTAGAGTGGCTCCAGCTGGTTGTAGAGATGTTCCAGGTCATCCTCAAAGGAGGCTGAGTCGTACCAGGAGCGCCAGTAGCTTCCTGTGTCCTCAAACCCTACCAGGGAGATAGTGATGACCTCTGGCTCCAACCCCCAGGGACTACCTCCCAACCCAGCCCCAAGAGCTGGGACCAGGGAACAGCAGTAGGACTTTTGCTCCTTCCCCAAAATGTTGGCACTGGGGAAATGGAAGTTGAATGCCTGTGGCATGTAGGATGGGGAGAGCAGCAGGGAACCCCATTGCCCTGGCCCCAATTCCCACCACTGAACCCTGACCACCCCCTGCATCCCCCCATCCTGCTGGTACCATCCATCTGATAGGCCTCGTTGCTCAGCTTCACGAACTCCTCATACTTGGCTCGCAGTGGGTTGCCCGCGGCGTTGTGCCACCCCTCCCAGGCGTAGAGCAGCTTCTTGTAGCTGCGGGAGGTGGCCATGATGTCCGAGATGTCTGAGACAGAGGGGACAAGTAGGACATGACTGAGGGGAAGGAGCCGGGTGTCACATCCCACAGTAGCTCTGCAGAGGTGCCACCACCATCGTGCCAGACCCAAATACACATCCTCACCCCAGGACAACCCTGATGGACATGGATGGGACCTTCCAACCCCAACTCACTGGGGATGTGTGGACTATGACAAACTCATGGACATAGGGTGCTCAGCACCCCACAGGGGCAGAGGGACAAGGGTCATACCTGGCTCCAGATCCCAGCAGGTACCGTTGGTCAGGCACACCTTGGCCGTGGAGTAGATTTTGTCCATGTTGCTCAGGATGGTGTTGTACTGCAGGGAAGGAAAAGACATTGAGGTTGGAAGGGGATGGGAATGGCCCTTCAGGAGGGATCTACAGACTTCCCAGCTCCAGTGCGTGTGTGTGTGCGTGTGTGTCTGGAGGGATGTGGAGGAGCGCCCGTGTGTTTATACAGCGTGGTTTTGGTGAGATAAGTGTGTTATCACCCAGAGTTTTACACCCTTCGCATGGTGGGAGCAGGGATGCTCTTCAGGACAGATAAACCACCACGCACAGCCAGTCACCAAACCCGCCTCAAACGCGATGTGAGTGCTCGTGGTGTCCTAGAACGGGGCTATTTATAAAGCTCTTTGTCAGCGGGGCTGCAGCACAGCTTGTTTATCTAAGTGAGTTAAAAAAACCCCAACAAACCCAGTAAGAAAAGCAGGAGGAGCAAGGGGATTTCGTTCTGTGAACTTCCAAACCAGTAAACAATAGCAACAGGAGGTTTCCTGGAACCTGCCAGGGGAGCCCATTCCCAGGGAAGGAAATTCCTCTGCTCTGTCCCTCTCTCTGCTCCCATCCTTCTGCTCTGGCTGGGTGGAGGGGACGGAGATGGGGGATGGTGGCGGCTGAGGGATGGAGCTGCCAGGGGACGGATGAAACACGGATGATGTACAGGGAGGAGACGTGATGCTCTGTTATCTGGGAGAGGGCAGGGATGGGTTTCCTGGAAGGAACTGGGGCCGACGCTTCTCCGGAAAGGATTGTATCCCTGAGCTTGCCAGCCAAGAGGGGTTTGGATGGGGAGGATGGTCAGGGAGCAGTGGGCCAGGCTGGAGAAGACGGCAGTGCCAGCGTCCCTGTGCTTGTGTAGAGGCAAGAGGCTGCCAGGCTCAGCCTGGGCAATATTTCCATGCATGGAAATCAAAATCATGACACATTTGGGTAAATGACCCTGAAAGTTTAGGACTGTGATAAGGAAAGGATAAGGGATGTCCTGATGTCCCTAGTGTGGAACTGTGTCACCAAGGCACAGCATCTCCGGGCTCACAGGGACACCTCAGAACCTGGGTGGCTGGAACAGCCCCCTTTATCAGTGGGTTACATCCCCAGGGAGCCCCAGGGCTGGGGGGGTGTTGAGCCAGCTGGCCCCTGGCCATGGGCACAGCCTGGCTGGTCTCCAGGTGACGCCCAAGGCCGCTCTGTGTAAGCAGGAAATCTCCGGTTCCCATTTGGAAAACTCTGAGATGAGATTAAGGCTGGATAATGGGGCCAGCAGACACCCCACATCCCTTGGGGAACATCTCCATCGCTGCCTGCCCTGTGCAGAGGCCAGGGAGACCTTCCAAAGTGCAATGGAGGGGCAATGGGCCAGCAGCCCAGTCTGGAGGCTTGGGAGAAGTCCCTTTGAGGGGTTTCACGGCACCCCAGCAGTGCCCAGGGCTTCACCAGCACCTCACCTACCTGCTCTCTCTTCTCCAGGGGCAAGTTGGAGGGTCCCAAGGTCTGGATGGAGCCGATGATTTTCCTCAGCTGTGGGTCACTGAAGTTGCTCCAGATGTTGCCATAGAGCTCCTTGGCTTTCTTCCCCCACACCTCCGTGAAGTTTTGTTCCTCTAGTGATGCCTCAACCTGCACAGCAAGAGAGGACATGGGGGCTCAGGACCAGCCCTGGGACATGCCACCACCTAGGTGACAGTTTAGGGGGTGAGTTCAGAGCCATGAGGGTTTGTAGGAGCCAGAGGGGATGGGACACGAGGTGGCAGGGAGGACTGTCCCCAGGCTGTGACGTTCATAGTCAGAGACATCAGCTTCCAGCCCATGTGGCAACAGCTGCAGCCCCCACTCACCCGCAGTGCTCCCGGTGAGCACTGGCCAAAGTGGCCTTTGAGGGTGTTTTGGAGGTGGCTCTGGAGTGTCATGGCCCGGATGGGGTGGGGATGCTGGGACAGGGCTGTCCATGCCATGTGGGCAGGGTGTCCGGGTGCTCCTGGGCTGGCTCTGGCAGTTGCCAGACCCCAGTTTCAGAAGGAACTCTGAGGACTGGCTTCATTTTATCCTTATTCCTGATGTTCCTCACCTTTGCAGAAGCCCAAAAGAAAACTACAAAGATGTCACCTTCGCTTTCCTCCTTTCTATAGGTCCTTGCTAGATCTATACATTTCTCCCTTGGCTATCTGCAGCCCACACCTCATAAGTGGTTTCACCTTGCAGAGGGACACCCATTTGCACTGAGCCCCCTGTTTTGGGTCTCTCACTGTCACCCATCTCCTGCCAGTTCCGACCTCCCTTCCCAGGGCCGTGGGACAGCAGGAGCTGCCTGCGCAGTGGGGGGTTATTTAGGCAGCTGGAGCGCCTGCCGCCAGCCACGATTTTGGGACGGGGTGTGTTACGGGCGGTCGCATCCCAGTCGGGCTGTATTTTCTGGAGATGTTGATGTTTCATGAGGGTCCTGGCCCAGGAGATGTGCAGGATGGAGTGGGAAGGTGCGGAGTGGCTGTTCGCTGTCCGTGTGTCATCCTGGTGTGATTTATAGAGCTCATTAGCTGTTATTTGTGGCATTTTTAGCCTGGCTCCAACAAGCCTGGTTTGTTTTATTTTAATCTTCACATTCCCTGGGTTGGCAGTGGGGCAGGAAGGGAGTTATGTTATGGTAGGGCTGGAGGTTGCCTGGGACAGGCACCCACGTTGCTTGGGGACAAGGGGGTGGGGATGCTGAAAGTGCCAGGTGCTGCTGCCGGG